AGCTCTGGTGGCGCAATGGGTTTCACGTTGGGCTGCTGATCTCAAGATCAGCAGTTCAAAATCTCCAGCTGGTCTTTGGCAGAAAAATGGGGCTTTTTACTCCCATTAACAGTTACAGTCTTGGAAACCCACAGGGGCAGTTCTACCCTGTCCTTTGGGGATACGATGAGTCAGAATCCACTTGAAGACAGTGGGATTGGTTTTGGTTTTTTGATTTTCCAAGGCGCCTCTGGGTGTATTTGAACAACTAACCTTAAAGCTAGTATTGGAGCAGTTAGTCATTAGCCTCCTAGGGGCCCTTAGCAGTCTGAAGTAGAAACTCAAATTGCACATCCCGAGTGAAGCTGACTCGAAGAGGCCAACACATACGGAATGAGAATGCAGGGCCTCTTGCTCCAACTACAGGAGCTACAATGGTAGGTTGGGGACTGAAGGGTCCTGAATTCCAGCAAGGGTGTCGGTGACCTTGTCTTGGAATCCACGGCAGGAAGGGAAACGAGCCAATCCCCGAGAGGCAGGATGGGACAAGTGGAAGGTCCCGGGAAGGAGGCACTTGGGCAAAGGGGAGCAGAAACAAGTCAGGGCAGGTGAAAAGACAGAGACTCAGTAGGTAGATACTCAGTTCTCAGAAAGGAGCTGTGCCCAAATGTAATGAAAACAAGCACAGGCCCCTTACACTTCTGAAACGGAACACTTGCTAAAACTGCATTCTGAGATAATGAGGACACGGCCGTGCTGAGCTTTGCTTTCGTTACATTAATGAAGGCAGGGTGTGTTAAGAAAATTAGCAGTAAGACATTGTGGCAGGGAGGGTGTGCAAACAAAGGGAACACACTGTGTCCAATCATCCTCTGGCACTTAGCTGCGGCATTTACATATAAACAGTAGTTAGACTAATCGCGTCGTATCCCTCCGAAGGAGATGCAACAACAGATTCTCATTAGGTAATATTTAGCAGTCTTGGTTCATGTTCCTCTTCTCACCAGAGTAATGAAATGAAACTTCATTTGCATTAGTTTATAATTTAGATAATTTACTAATTCAAATAGGTCTCCCTCCCAGTTAGAAAAGAAAAAATGATTTCTCATCATTAAGAGCCAGAGATTCAAGAAAAATTGCTAGTGTATTCATAGTCACCAAATTAAGGAGTATCATGTGGATAATTTTCTCTTTGTTTTTCATTTGGACAGTTTTATATTTGGATTCCCCACCCCCTTTGTGATAGGCCAGCTTACACCTTTTAAAAAAACGTCTGAAAGCTCGTGTTAATTCCATAATGTTTAGGGCTAGGACATAGGGAAGTCAACTGGTTGGGACCTTGAAAAGATAAGAAATTGGAAACTAGGACCAAGTAGGGGTAGTGACAGGAAGCCCAGGATAGAGTGAGAAGCAAAAAAACTCACTCAGGAGTTCCCTGGTGAAGTCCGAAGAAGTGCAGGGTAGGTTAGGCAGTGGGTCTCCACCTTTCGCATGCCACGGCCCTTTCACACAGTTCCTCATGTGGTGGTGACCCCCCCAACCATGAAATTATTTTCATTGCTACTTCATCACTGTCATTTTGCTATTTATGAATTGTCATGTAAATATCTGATATGCAGGATGTATTGTCATTGTTACAAATTGAACACAATTAAAGCATAGTGATTAGTCACAAAATAATATACAATTATATATTGTGAAATATTTATTTCTAATGACAAATAAATGAAATTTGTCTTGAAATGTAGTGTAGCATGGGTGACAGTCTTCACGCTGGGTACTCATGTGTGGGCGTATCTGCATGTGGGCGGACCCCCCTGGAGACGGCTAGAGGAGCAGCGTCTCAGTTCCTAAGACCATCGGACATATGTGCTTTCCAATGGTCTTAGGCGACCCATGTGAAAAGGTTGTTCGACCCACAAAGGGGTCGTGCCCCCAGAGGTTGAGAACCGCTGGTAAAGTGATGGGCGCAGAAGCAAGAATTTGGAGGTGGAAAGAAGAAGACTCTCAGCCTATGAAGATGGGCTAGTGAGAGCTAGACAGGGATATCTTGTTATCCACAAAAAAAGAGTTTGGGGATCAGAGTGGAAGAACGAGAGAGCTAAATAGGAAGCCCACTTAGAGACCCAGGTATGTGGGCTGAACAAGACAGCCGAGAGTAGTAACAAAATGACAGCCCAGGGGGGACAGGTTCCTGAGAGGTAAACTAGGTACACGATGCTGATCTATAGCCCTGCAACTCATCCCATAGTCACCCACTGGAAGACATCACTTACCTTCATCACAGTCGATTTAAAAAAACGGGACAAGAATAAGCTGAGCCTGCTTGCAGAGAAGAACTTCCGTTAATATGGGGACAGGAACCAGGCCAGGCAGGGGTTGGCATGTGAGCCTGTGCTTAATACGACCCCCTCCCTCTGTCTCTGGGAATGGCAGCTTTCTGTTGCCCACCCTAACTTGCTGCGAGCATTGACTGAAACAGGCAGCACACTTCATTTAGGTAGTTATGGCTTGTGGGGTATGTGCCGCATGCCAAGCATGATGCTGAGCGCTGAAGCAAACACCAGCCAGTTCTTCCCCTCGAGGAGATGAATGACCATCCACGCACCACAGTTAACTAATAGTTGAAAACAGCATCGGCTGAAGTGGCAGGAAGAAAAGACAGCCCACAGCACCCCTGGAATGCAGGCGTCAGGAGGGGGCTCCTGAAGGCAGAAACTGAAGCACTGCCTTGAAGAATGGACAGAATTTTGACAGGACCAAGAGGAGACAGAAAGCGATTCTAGTTGTAAACATCTGCTGGGCGATGTGAGAATGAAATGGGAGGCGTCCCAAAGCTGTTTAGCGAGATTTTGACACCCAGAATGCACCCAGGGAATGAAAAGTATGGTTACGGCTGTTGCTATTATTTCTACTCTTCTTATTTTGCAACTTTTCCTGCTGTTCCATTTTTAAAAATGCTAATGTTACTGTTTCTAGTAAAATATTGGGGATTCAGAAGACAAGTCTGGAAGACAATGAGAAGGGACACATTTGTTTCTCTCTTGAGCAGTAGGTGGAATAAAAGGAACCAAAAAGAACAAGGGCTTGCTTCAGACCTGGGTCTCTCTCAAGTGTGCTTCTGATCCCATCCACGCCCCCGATGCTAATGCTCAAAGAGGATCACGCAGAAGGTGCACAATGAAATTCAAGTGAGTTGCCCATGAACACCACCACTGATTGTTGCATAGCTAAATCCCATTGTGTTTCAGTAAAAAATGTAGGAGGCAGAGGATTCTAAGTTCCTGACCCGATTTACAATCCCTGCTTTTTATTGTCTTTTCCTGTCTAGGGGTTTGCTGTTTTATGGAAAACATATCAGTCAGTACAAGATAGCAATACAATGATGCTATTTTGTGCCTACCAATGATGTTGCCAGGACAGAGAGTGCAAACACTGGCTCAGATAATCGTTCATTTGTATATTCAGTATGTCCACTCTGGTACCAGATTCAAGGAGAGGCAAATGAAATTTCACTTCAGAGTGATTATTCCCTGAAATCTAAGAACAGCGGCTTTATTGCGTATTATTTCTCCCTTTGCAACGGTCACTTTCTCTTCATTCCGTTTGCTGTCATGTTCTATAAATATCAAAGAGGCTGCTGACGCTGCCTTCACCCAGAGCAGGTACACTTTCCGCGCACACAAAGCCTGCTTCTCCCAGAAAAGCATCTCTGGGTCTGCAGGCTGCCCTGCTCCCAGGATTGAAAGGGCTGCTGGAGGGCCACGGGGAAGGGCTTGGCTGCTCACCATGGGTCGGCAATGACTAGCCGCTCCAGGGGAGAAAAGGGAAAGCCTCC